CCCTCCCCTCCTCTTTTCCTTCCCTCCACTCCCCTTCCCAGGCGGTTACAAATCAGAAAATAAAAGAAAACCCAGCAGATTTCATTATTGCCATTTTAAAAAATATTTTACCATTACTATAATGTCTCTTTGAGCAGTTTATATGTTACATCATGAAGATAACAGAAAGTGGTAATAATTTCACCTTCATTTTTTTCCACTGCAATTTGTATAGCAAATTTTTCAGTCTGAAATTAAAACATACAGTAAAAGGGGGAAAAAGCAGTGGCAACTATAACCTCAATTATCTAAATGCCAGGGTGCCACATCCAAATGTGGGAACTTGAAGAAGTACAAAAGGCCCTTAGAATAGCTACTTATGAAATGTCAGTACATTTGGCAGACTTCTTTTTAGCCTTTCATTTTGAGATTTATTGCCTGAAATTCAAGGATTATGTACTTTATGGATGCACCTTGAACAATGTGCCTTTATGTGGGGGGAGAGTGGAAATATGCCTGGAAGAGAAGTGAAATGACAAGCCAATATTTTAAGATGGAATATTATCTATCCTCTTTTATGTGGAGAGAAAAATCACACGCAAACCAGCAGAATTTTTTTGTTGTTGTTGTTGAAAAAAGTCAAAGGAGGAAGGGGAAGAGAATGAAATTACAATCATCCAGGCCATTATCTCTTTCCATGCTGCTTATTTACGTATTTTCATTCTGAAACTCCTAAAGAAGAAACTTTATCATAGCAACTGCTGTTTGTCATTATTTCACTGTTACACAGTGAGACTTTATAGAATATCTCCCAGCAGTAAGAGACTTTCCAGCCATTGGCTGACTGCTCATAAGTGATAAACAGTTTAGAAATAAGCTACCCTTCAGCCAAAGATAGTATATATGCTTTAAATGCTGTGGAGTAGAGAGAAGCTGTTCAATATTTCAAGTTTACCGCCAACTTAAGGTTACTGTGATTCTGAACACATACTTAAAAAGAAATAAATACTTCTGGTGATTAACAGAAAGAGGTGAGACAGCAGGATTTGATTTATGTAGGAACTTAACTGAATTTGAAAAAATATCTATTGTTCTATAGGTGGAGAATGAGAAATCGAGGACGGAAAGGGCTGAGGAATATCTGTGTTTATTCTGTTCAAACCTGGCATATTCTCAAATACCTTGTGGCCCTGGGTCTAAGATTAGGGAAGACCATAATGCTCCTGGACGACCTCTTACACAGGTCTTTTTTCTCATTACCAATATCAAAGTAAGAGGAAGCAAGTGGGAAAAATGAGCAAGCTCTTGCCTTGGTTGGTGTTGGTGGACATTTTCTGTGATATTTTAAGGAATACTTTGAGTTGAGTGGACTGGTTCTGCTCCAGTCAGCAAAAGTACTATCTAAAGATGAAAGCTAGATTGAGTTTTCAGACCATCTGATGAGGTATTGACTGTCATCCACTAGAAAAAAAATAGTTTGCTGTAAATATACCTCAAGTTTCAAAGTCAGTAGGTAGATAGAGATATACAGATACAGTGATAGGACAAAGAAGGAATGGTTTTAAACAAAGAGAAGGGAGATTTAGATTAGACATCAGGAAGAAATTCTTTACTCAAAGATCAGTGAGACATTGGCACAGGATGCTCATAGAGATATCCAGGTGCATCCTGTAGATTTTCATTCTTTGTTGAGCAGTAATCCTTTTTTGCCATTGTCTTGTGAGAAAAAAAAAAAAAAAGTCTTTTATTTCTGTGCATACACACACACACACACACACACACACACATATATATATATGTATATATAAAGAAGATACAGAATGTCCCTTGACTGGATTTGGCTTGAGAAGTGCTGCAATAGCAGTTAATTTTGTGTCAGTGGAACAGGCAACTTGAAATAAGATCACTAGTACAACCTGCATTTCAGGCTTTTATTTCTGGATGATACTTTGAATTAAAGACAGTACTTAACTCTGTTTACCTATAAAAGTGAAAGAAAGCCAACTTTTTATTTCCAATTTATTTACGTATTTATTTTTGCTAAAGTCAGTTTAACAGTCTGTAGAGACACCGGAACAGATTACTTTAGGGCAAAGAGGCACTAAATATCATAATCTTTGTGAGTGAGATAATAAATACCTGCACGGCCTATTGAGTGTTTAGGAGATAGGAACAATAGTACACATGTACTTTTAGGGAATATAATGGATCTACAATGGACAAACTGCAAAAGTAAACGTGCTTCATGAGGCAAAGCAGGTTATGTTTTTAATTTTAATGCCCATTCTTTTACGGAAATTTATTTTTAATCTTTTAATCTTACTCAATAAGTTTTCTTGATGCATTAGTTAACCCATAAGAAACGAACACACATGCATTGAACTTTCAGCTCTATACATAAAAAATCGACAACCACCACTCTGCTGTAACAGTTTTAACCCAAATTATCTGTTATGCTTTTACAGGAAACCTACTGAGTTATACAAGGCAACAACCACAGCCATTTCTCCTACCAGGTGCTTCTTTCAGTGGATTTAATTTTTGCTATTACTGTAGGAAGTTAAGATCATGATGGTAACAAATTCTGTTTAATGATCATTTGTACTTTTTTATGGGCATTTTCTTTCCAAATTGTGCTAGTAAGTTTCCTTAGAGTGTTAGGGTTCCTGAATATTTTAGATGAAAATCTTATACTTGCCATTACAAGTTTCACTTACAAAATGATCTTTTCCCCTCCACTGTGAACATAATATTGTGAAATGAAGTGTGACATTCCAGTTCCTTCATTACTTATAGTAGTTCGTATGAGGAATTCCTTGTGCATATTCATTTATTTATGAGGAAGAGTGCTGCACATTCTGTTCTGAACTGCCACTGAATTAGCACCCCAGTGTTATACCAGGGGGACATCATTCCAGTTTTTCAGTTAAGTAGCAGAGCAGAAACTGTAGCTCCTTGTACTTAGAAGAAACCTGCTGGTGTTGCTTCAGAGGTAGTTTATTAACCTCTGTTCTCCAGTTACCATACTTCAGACATTATATTCTGTCTTCTGGGCTTCTCTTCCGTCTGGAAATCATATTCCAACTAAAATCCATTCAAATTGTAAGTATGTAAGTGACTGCAGGACAATTACTGTAGAGCTCAACCTCTATAAAAAGTACTGTTCATGCCTGTAGTAGACATACTGTATCTGCAGGGAGTCTTACTTATTGTCACTCCACAGTGTTTAGCAGTCTGAGGATATTTATCGAGAAACAGATTCTGAATTGTAGAGTACATACAACTACATCAATTAATTATGAACATTAATCTTTGGTTTGCTGTGGGCCTGACTGAAAATCTTTTGGACGTTTTCAAAAAATTTTCAAGGAATTACAGAAAGAGTTAGAGAAGGCTTTTGTGTAGCTGTGTAAGTAGCTGTGATGATTCCTGGCTTCTTTAACTGAGCATAAAAATTATATATAATATTTTTATAAATTGAAATAATTTTGACATCTTAATTCAACCTTCTTTCTTTTCTGTTTGAGCTATATATTAGTCCCCAGCTAATGAAAAACTCAGTGAAACAGACACAAGTGAGCCTAAATCAACAATAATGGAAGAACAGATAACAGTAGGTCAGGATGTCAGTTAATGGCTAGAAATTCTTCCTTCTGTAGTTGAAAACTTTTGACCATCTGTTCATTGTCAGCTCACAAGAAACCCCAAGTCACTGCTGTGTATCCTCCTGTACAATCACCAGGAAATCCTAAAGAGTTGAGCTTGGCAATGAGCTAGTAACAGCTTCTTCATGTCTGATGGTGGGAGGCATTTGTTCATACTGCTGTTCTAGATTCCTGCTCTAGATTCCTGCTCTGGATATGTTTACATATAATGCTTACTTTTTGAGGCAATTACTATAATTCTGTTTCTCTGCACTGAAAATTAATCTAAGAAGGCCCGCTATTGGCAGAGTCCATGCAGAAAGAAGCATCATCTGTATTTATTTGTTGAATAACTCCTTGCTCAGTATCTTCTTTCTTCTCATGCCAACTTTTGATGAAGCTTTTTTCTGCCATTCCTGTAGTGTTGGGTGCAGGGTGAAAGCCAAGTTGGATTAGCAAGAAGCCTTGAGGGCTTAGTCTGCTTGGGCATGTGTTAATGGGCTTTGTGCAGAATATGATGCAGATGTGAGCGTAGGCAGACTAGAAATCACAATGCTGTCAATAAAACTGCAGAACTCAAGGGCTTCAGTGCTGCCTTCAACCAGAGCCAGAGGGCTTTCGTAATTTCTTTTGCTCCTGCTTCCTCCTGAGGGACAGCTTTCTTTAAAGAAAATAAAGGATGAGAGATAAAGAAGTCCTGTCTGAAAAGACCAGAGGGAACCGCCTGCTGCACTTGATGCCTGAAGGCAGGGAGTTCACTCTCAGCCTGTGCTGAAGAGAGAGAGGCAACGTTTCTCATTTGAAAATAACAGAGACAGATGCAGTCAAAAGTCTGTAGCAGTAACATCTATTTTTAAATTCTCAGCTATACCAGGACGAGCTGCCTCCTAATGAGCAGTCATAGACTCTTCACTGTTTTTTATGGTGACATTTTGCTTCTTCTAATTCTCTTCTTAATGTACTTTTCTAGCAGAGCAGATAATAATTATGAATTATAATCATGTAGAACTGCTCTTACCAAACAGCAAACTCAACCAAGATAGTGCCAAAGCTGCAAGCAATTTCTCATTTACGATAATAGAGTTTTCTTCATTACTGCTGTGGGAAAATGTCATATCTCAGCTGATGGCATACATTGTTTTAGATGTAGTGATCTTCTTTGGCTGTAATATTGACAAACCGCTATGCCATCACATGTCAGATTTTGACTGCACCTGTTTGCAAACTCAGATTAATTATGCTCTGCTGTCTATCTGCTTATTTTATGGATGTTTTGCTCACATGTTTTTAAGCAATGCTATTTAATTGCAGATAACTAATGGTAGTTATCTCTTCTCATTATCTTACTTTAACATTTGATTTGTCTGATTGCTGCAGGTGGAAACAATAGGTGATGCGTACTGCGTCGCAGCAGGGCTTCACAAGAAAAGCCTTAGCCACGCTAAAGCCATTGCCTTGATGGCACTTAAGATGATGGAGCTATCAGAAGAGGTTCTCACTCCAGATGGGAGCCCTATTAAGGTAAATCATTTGCTCTTTCTTCTCAGTTCATCAGTGGTACGTCGGCCTGATTAACTCCACTATATTCTGTCAGTAGAAGTCTACTGCAAGAATTAAAAATTACTGCAAGATATGACTTTATACATTTCAGTGGTCCCCATCAACATTCGTGCCTAGTTTTTTAAGCACAGCGCATAACTTAACATCCACATAATGCACATTTTGCTGTGTGTGGGGGTCTGCTTTGTGTTAGCTGTCACTTTGTTATATGCATTGAAAGTCTATTTGTGGCACTAGGTGCACTGCTAGAGTCTTCCAGTTCAGTTAGTGTGAGAAGGAGATGATTCACATGCTCCAGGACTGTGCCATGCTGCAAGCCAACACATGGAATGGCATTTAAAAAATTGATTTCAGAAGTAGGCTCCAGAACTTCAGCTCTGCTATAGATGCACTCAGATAGTTCTGCGGCTCTAAGGGGCACATCTTTTTTTCCAAAAAGTTGTTGACCTGAATACAATTGTGTGGGGACTGCTTGCTCTTGGTGACACTGTTCTTCCTTCCCACGCACCACTAGTTCTTTTTACTAGACTGGTACAAGAGGCAGCAGGAGGTGGGAAAGCGTGTCCTTTTGTACTTTTTTGAAGGTTCTCTCTGCCATTCTGCATCTTCTGATCTTACAACAACCTTGTAGCCACTGGCACGTGACATGGATAACATTTAGGTACAAAATGGAAATTCAGCAGGAAACAGAGTCTGTGGGGATAGACACATGTCTTTCCTATGCAAGGCTCAGTTTACATATTGCCTTCATTTTACTCACTCCTGGTTTTGGTTAAATTGTTCTTTTTATTTTCAAAGAAAATGGGGAGATTATTTAGAACAATTATTCAACTCTGTCTAAAGCCAATAACAAAAGTCATATGTAGCTAGATGAGAAGGCTGGACAGAGTTCCCATAGGATTTACATCTTGGTTGAATTACACTTTGTAAACTGTGATTCCTTATATGTGCTAAAAAGGGAGGCTTGAAAACATGGATAATTTTTTCTTTTTTCTCTTTTTCTGGGAGGGGATTTTGTTATGAATTTCTAAAACAACTCTGATTTTAAAACCTGTCAGAAAATACATGGTTTTGAAAAAATAATAAATCTGTGATGATCCTTGAGCAGTAAAATTATATATTCTTGAGTTCAAACTCATCTCTATTAAATGATACCTTGAATTATATTTCTTGAAGTCTTTGTATGTGGTGAATCAAGAGAGATTTAATCCAGATGTGTTGCCATGCCCAAGAAGGAGAGCATGGACAGCTAATGTAAAAACTCCAGGAAATATAGCAACACAATATTCAAATGAAAATATAAGGATGAAATGTTTGTATTTTTTGGTACTCATGCTTCTGATGAAATTTTTCTTTAAAATTGTGAAATATTTATTTATTTACCATAAAATGGCCACTTATTTAAAAGCCTAACTTTCCGTGAAAGTACTTTGGATTATGGATATTGAAGAATAATTTTATAAAAGCTTCACAAAGTCTTTTATTGAACTCAGAATTAGCATTAGAAGACAAATATTTTCTGAAGATACCAGAAGATGTTTTTGGTTTTCAGTTTTGATTCAGAACTGTTTCAGATTGGTGTTCACTTACACCGTACAAAATAGTTTTTCCAGGTTGTTTGATAAGTTCTCTATTTTTCCAGTGAATATAGATGATCAATACAGTCTAGCTTCACCGTCACATGCTGGAGATCTGCCTTCCAGATCCTTTGTATCTTTATACTCTATAAATAATTCTTGCAATCATAGGGAAATTTTAAATGTTTGTTTTACTCTTAAAGTCACAGTGAATGTTTTCATTACTACTTTTTTTTTTTTTTTTTTAAGAAAAATTCTTTATCATTTCAGTGACTTTGTAAGAAAACCTATAAAAGAATGACCATAAAGACAATGCATGAGAAAGACGCTTGTAAAGAAGAAAATGCTAGGAACAGCTGCATATATTCAAAAAGTCCTGATGAGTTTCCTTTTGAATTCAGAAGAAAAACTGTCAGTTTGTTATAACTTATATTGAAAATAGAGGTGCTGAGAAGGTCCTCAGTGGATGCTAATTATCCTGTTTTCAGTTTTAAGTGTGACTTCAAGGCAGGAGGACCAGTGATACCAACCAGAGTGACAAAAAGCCTCACACAGTTATTGTTGCCTTTGTACTGAGACTGCTAATTTGCGCTTAAGAAAGTATATAGAGGCATAGAATCATAAAATAACCTCAGGTGGAAGGAATCACAAGGAAGACTGAATCCAATTTCTGGCTCCACATAGGACCACCTGGAATTCAAATGCAACATCTGAGACATTATCCGAATGCTGTTGAATTCCAGTGTTGATTTGATTTTAAGGATTCATCTCTCCTGTGTATATTACCCTGTAAAACTATAGGAATAAGGGCTTTTATAGAACTCAGCTCTAATTTGTCCTAGTTTATGTATCTGCACACGGGTGAGGTGAATCACATCCTCAAAATGTGTTTTTTTTTTTCAGTTGTCTGTACAGGAATTTTGTAGACCTAACCTAAATTTGGGTATTTACATTGTAAGCTTCGTCACTGTCAGATGAACCCTCCTACAAATGGCAAAGAATGCGTAGTCCTCTTAGTAGTTATGTCAGTTATCATTGCAGCTAAATGTGGATGCATTACTCCTAAATCAAATTGGCATGATTAACTTCCAGCCAATGCTGCGTAGCATGGAGTGATCTCTTTTTTTTTATTAGTTTCTTATGTACAAAGCTTTGAAGGTGCTCATCGTTCCACAGGTTTTTACTAACAAATACATCACGTACATCATCCACCTGAAGTTTACAGATCCCCTAGATGTTTATAAAAATGGATTCGGCTCCATGCCATTAATAAGAGTCTAATTGTTTCATATCCTTTGCTATAAGGCATTTCCACAAAAATATTTCATATATTCATGAACATTAGTTACGAAGTACACTGTGCAAACTAGAAGATGTGAAGTGGCATGACTTCTCAATGAGGAACTGTAATGTATTGTAATGTGGTTACTTTGAACTGGTCCTGTTGGTGTGCGTGACAAAACAAGCACAGTATTTTGACCATATTTTGACTCTAATTCTTATCAGAAATTTGTATTGCAAATTTACATTCCTTGACCCATTGCCAAATGTGTTGAATACAGAATGCTAAAAGCAGCTTTTTTTTCCTCATGTTGAATATCCTATATCAGTGTTTGGATGTTGGAGAGCTTGAAATCAGAGAGCAGTTATCCTCATACCCAAACCTTTTTTTGCCAGGATCAGCTGTGGCCTTCGTTCCTCTGAAACAAGTTTTCAAAACATAATTCCTAAATATAAGAGTCCCTCTGATCTCAGGAGTAAACAACAGTGTTGTGATTCCTCCACCTAGAATCTGGCTTACAAGCACAGATTGAATAAGAGGAAATTATTCCCAGCCACTTTATACAATAAATGACACCACAGTGACTTGAACTTTGATTTCTGTTAACTGGCTGACTGTTATCACATGGTTACTCTGTTTTGAAAGCGTCTTCGAAAAAGAAGCAAACATGCTAACATCTCCTTGGTGTTTGCAGTGGATTCCTCTTCCAGAGACATAGTCTTATTGAAGCTATTGCAGATCAGCACTGGAAATAGAGTTCAGAAATTACCGCCAGCTTTGTAGGGTGCGATTGGCAGTGACACACACTGAAGATGGCTCTTTATTGCAGAAGGCAATGTCTTTTAGGCAGACGTAAGTTACACATGTTTCTGGGTTGTCTTGCTTGCAGAGATTTCAGCTCTAGGGAAGCCCAACTGCAATTATGATATGCAGTGCTTTTTATTTGATGATTACTCAATTAGACATCTCTGACTTCATGATTATAGTTTATGGAATACGTATATTTTCTAAATTACTTTGATGAATATATTTTGTTGTCATCTCAGGACTGAATTCAAATGTTTGCTTTTTGTACTGCTTGAAGTGATCATCCCTGTGATAGCAGCTTATTGACATCTTCCTGAGTGACACTGACAACCTCAGAAATAGACTCAGAAAGTCAGCGAGAAAAAGTAAATGATGGAATGAAAAAGACTTACTACACAAGTGGGAATTAAGGATAGGATTTTTAGTATTAGCAGGCAATCAAATGAAAGTTATTGTCTGGGTTTACAGTTATATGTATTCATTCTGCACGTTCTGAAGAGCCTGCTCCTTAGAGTGATACCTAGACTACCTGACTAGAAAGCAGTGATGGACCTCAGGATGGTGGCAAGGTGCATGAGGCATGTCTGTTTTATATCCCTGGTCTCACCCTGTGGATCAGAGCGCATGGCATGCTGCTGAGGGCACCGTGGCGTGCAGCTGCCAAAGGCTTCTGCTTACCAGATGGAGAAATGCTTACCAGAATGGAGACCCTGTGCCTGCACTCCTTATAGCAACTCCAATGAAATGTGGTTTGCACTGTAATGAAAAATCTTGACAGAAAGAGAGAGCGGGCTATATTATAGCAGTCTGCACAAGTCCTGTTGTCAGTGCTGTAGCAGTCTCCTCTTTCTGAAATAAATATTTGTAACAGAAAATGGACTGATTGCTCTCATGTAAGCAGTGGAAGCTCCAGGTCCCTGTACAATATTTTCTTACTTCTATTTGAGGCAAAATCCCATTAATTTAAGGGCCTTAGTAAAAGGAAGGGCTTTTGGCTCACGCACTACGTGTAGAACTGGTTATATACCCTTTCAGCAAAATGCTTTTTAGTCAGGAAGCTCTGATTTGATTTTGCTTCTGTGCCACTAATTAAACGTAGTGCCCTATGACTGTAGTTTGAAAATATTGATTTAAAATTGCCTTCTGCATTTAAGTGAGCATTACTTGAATGTTCAATATTTATCATACTCTATCTCTTTAGATAAAGTGGAAGTATATTAATTTTAATAGCTAGAGATGATGCTGTAAGAAGAATTCTCCAGAGCGTAGACCTTTAGAAATAAAGATCACAATATGTATCTCATTTAATGTGTTTAAACCCATAATATATTATCAGAGGCATCCCTTTTTAAGTCCTGCCCAATTATTCAGGCAGTGTGCATCCTGAAGGCAAGAAAGGCTTCCTTTGCAGTTTGTTGTTAAACGGTCTGGGCTGGCAGCACATACCTGGTTTTGGCTAATGATGTTTTCCTGAGGGGTTATTCTCAAAGACTGTCAGCTTCTTTTTTCAGTGCATGAAGGTGGTCATAGCGAGGTCATGAACAGATACAGAACTGGGAACACACTGAGGACAAATGAATGGTTTACATGAAGCTGCTGAAATTAACTGCAGTTATGTAGATTTGTTGTGCACAGGTATTTCTGTCTAAAACATGAAGAAGATTAGGCCTTATCATGGTAATTCATACATGTTTTGGAAGATGTTCCACTGCAGCTCAAAAATGTCATGCATCTTTCAAAGTTTTGTTTACAATACTGGGAGAACTAGGCCTGTAAACACTTCAGTCAGAAAACTCAGTTTTCTGTTTTCTTACCTGCTAGTGATGACATAATCCAAATAGAGTTGTGCAGGAGGTTTTCCAGCTGAAATTGGTTTCAACTGGATTAATTAACTTTCAGGTAAGGTAGATGAGACCCTATATTCAGTTGGGATTACAGGGCACATAGACCGGTCCTCGGCATAATGCTTTGTTATCAAGATATGGTGCTTGATGCATTTGCAGCTTGTAACTTTCAAATGTGCATTATCAAACCTGTTTTCTTATTGGATTTATGAGCTGCACTCAAACAATGCAGGCTGGTACTAATGCTCTCAACACAAAGCCTGTCTTTTATCTATCAGCCAGCGAAGGAAAGGCAGCACAGCTGAGGGAGCATTTCATATCAAGGGTGGGATTAACCTCATCTAATTTTGAATTCTGGCAGCGTAGGCAAATGCATCAAAACTTGTTACTCTTACTCTGTAAATGGAGAAAATATAGCTATTTTATTCTGTGTTCATCTGACATACTTTCAGTGGTTACTTCATAATAAAATATTTGAATGAATATTTGTCAGATAAGCGTGACAAATATCCTTACCTCTGAGAGCTAATGAGATTGCAGGAGTATGGATAATGCCAGTGAAGGGAGCTGAACTGACACATTTCAAGTCTTGTTTGGTCACGGGCTTCCCATTCACATTTTAGATGATATCAGGCCTTCTATATTTTAGCTTCCTGTATGGACAGAGTAGGTGACTGTTTTGCAAGTGAAACATTTCTGCAGCAAGCCTAAGCCATCAGACTTTACAGCCATACCACTGCATTAGTTCTGATGTGTTGTCTAATTAAATACCCGTTCATGATGACTAGAACAGTGAAAGTCTGATTCTTATCGGCCTCTAATCTTTGCATGCTAAGTGGTAAATATTAATAAGTGTGAGGTGAGTAAGCATAGTGAAGAGGAAAAAAGGCTCTGTGTGTTGTAATGGCTCATGTCCATGGTGAGACATGACACATGGTAATGGGCAATGAATCTTAGCGCCTGTGGCTTCGTCTGCCTACTCCTTAATTATCCCCTCTTGCATTATGGTAATAAGGCAGTTGGGCTTGAACACAAATCGAATGAAAATGCTGTGGTTTGCTTGAATGCATGCTTTTTATTAGTTTCTAAACAAAGCAGCCATTCCCAAACGTAATGTGAAGGAGAGTACATCAGTAAATGTATCCGTGTAGTCCTTTTCAGTGTGTCTTGCCTTGTTTTAATTTAGACTGTGGCATGTGAGCGTTATGGCAACGCAGTGGTCCTCGCCAAATGTGCATCTTTATGTAAGCAGTAACAGGCTGTCTGTTTTGTTTTAAGTTGTTGAAAGGATGACTGCTGATGCAGGCGTTCCCATCAGCAGTGTGAGAAGCTGTGCGTGCAGTGACGCTTCTAGCTCTGTCTGCTGTCTCCTAGCAACTTTGCCTTGTACCCAATGCCTGAATCAGCCCTGGGGAGGAATAGAATGCCCCACTTCAGGATGGATAACTGCAAATAAGAAATTTGATTGTGCTAAAAGAAAAAAATCCAAAACAGTTCCACAAAATAAAGACATTAATTCAGAGAGATTTTGACAAAAAATTGGTGAACAAGTCCACACAAAGGTGTTTAGTTTGACAGGCTTACCAACATCTGGGCAGTGTGACTCCTTTGGTTGTCCTTCAGAGCTGCATGTCTCAAGGAAAATCTTGGTGCTTTTTCTTGAGAGAGTGCTTGGGAGGTGGTGATCCAAAGTCAGTTCCTCGGACTTGAGGAGCGTTCCTGATGCCATACCTGCCTTTGGAAAAGCAAAGTGAGAGAAGCAGATCTGAATTACAGCACATCTCTGTAGGCTTCTGGGAAATTGTAGGTTTTGTTAGGCTGCCTTAAGGGAAAATTCAAACCTTCCTCAGCCCTCCAATCATTTTTACTCAAGTGCTTCCTTTTGTCTGATTTAATAATAATCTTTATCATTATTACTAAAGCCACACCCACTATTTTCAACTTTTATTCTTTGGAAGGGATTTTATCATGTTGGTCTGGAAATTTTGTTAGCTGTTTATTCTGGGAAAAGGCATGTTGTCCAGAGGGTTGGTTATTGTTTCAGACAGCATGCATTTCTTGTTTTCATTGGATACCAGAGTGAAATCCTGGTAGCTGGTAAAGGTAGACTTCCAAAGCTTCCAGGGTTTGATCCTGCACAACATGAGGATCTGCCTGCTATGCATAAAATTGCAGGGTACAGAAGCTTGATATTAGCATTGGCAACAAGGTGTAAGCCCAAATTTAATTAATTAGAAGGCTATGAATATGCTCTTCTTCTGACTGCTGGGAGAAAGAGACCTGAAAGATGAGTGGTGATTAGTGATGAGCTAATTAATAATGTGATGATTGCTGGAAGAAGATTTGTCTTTGGACTTGGGCATTCTTCTCATGCGATGCTTTCTCTGACAGTGCTCTCCCAGGAGAATGGAAGAGCAGAAAGCAGAAAGCCTTATTCCGTCTACTCGTCTCCATGGCAAAAAATAAATCACACTTGTAAAAGCCAGGGTATGTACCCGGGGCACTGTGTGGACTTTTCCATTGTTTATTAATTCACAGTGACTACTACATTTTCACAATTCTTTCTTATTCACAGAATTTGGGTTTAACCCATGTGTTTCTGTAATTCAGTGATATGGCCTGTTTGCTAAGGCAGACAGAACCTTGCTTTGATGGCTGTTTGTAGCTCATAATTTTGTCCCAGTGCCTCACAAGGAGCAGATAATTTCTTCACCTGCACCTCTTAATGTAAGTACGTACACATGGAATATTGGTGATGGTTTCAAGACTTAGTTCCTACATGAGATTTGTGGCCACAGGATGTGCAGCTGGACTGTGGGGTTAGGTTTAAGGTCACTGCTCTGATTCTCACGGTTTAGCACTCATTTCAGATACAAATGCCTCTAAGTAATATTCCAGATGTCTGGCTAGTGGTAGTTAAGAATTTCCCATGGAAAACACTTTTTAGATGCAAACACTGAATTACCAAAATCAAAAACTGCTGTAGAAGTGCCTGGACTGATTCTCGTAAGACAAGTTTACCACATTTCGGTGAATTTCTGATTGGAGACATTTTCTCTCAAGAAGCATTAGGAGGTCATTGGCTGTGGCAGTCACTTGGATTAAAAAAAAAAAAAGAAAAGAAAAAAAAAAAAAAAGAATTTAAACAGAGTAAAGAATTGAAATTTTGCCCTTTGGGAAAGAAAAAGAAGAAAAAGAATTAAAAGAAAAAGACAAAGAAGAAGAATCAGAAGAATCAGAAGAAAAAGGAAAGAGAAAAGGAAAAGAAAAAGGAAAAGAAGAAAAAGAAAAAGCATTCTTGGCTATTTAGGATGAAAGACATCCTATGAAAAACCATTTTGCCCCTTGGCTTGGGCTGGGAGGGCATTTTGCACATCTGCTGAAATTGCATGTTCTCATTCTGATTTGCTGCTGTGGAGAGTTTCCATGCTGAAGCATTTCTACTTTCTATTCTTATTACTGCCATTAACTCTTCAATGCTTTATTAGACAGAAGCAAACAAACAAATGATAATAGCAAAAAATAAAATTAACTATCAACACACCCACTAGGTTAATTAATAACCACCCACTAGGTTAATTAATAACCACTGTAATCCTAATTAATAATCCGGTATACACAGGAATTTTGTTACATCTTCACAGAGGTAACAGTGGATGAAAATCTTTAAAAAGTGAAAATCCACACATGCATAATGGTGTTATGCATTTGTAGAAAAAACAAAACCAAACCAAACCACAACCCCCCCCTTCTCCCCCCTCCCCCGAAAATTATAAGTAAAGTTATCCATGAAAAGGAAAAGAATTGAGCTAGGGGACCCATGGTAGCTGAGTTTTGAACTATTATTTCTCTTAAGTCAAGGGTCCATATTCCTAAATGTCTGTTCTCTTCTTCTCTCAATATGTCTTCCTGTCATTCTTATACAAGTCAGGTTTCCATTACCAACTATCAAACTATTTTTCCTCTCTTCTGAGATGTAGAAGAAATGGAAAACACTGCACAAAAAAAGCTAAATAAAGAGTGATATGAGTGATATTATCATATGCAATCCTATGAGGAGTCAGAGGAAGCAAGCAGTAATGCACTGAGAAACAAGCACTAATTTTTGCGTTAAAATAGTGTTTTATTGGATTTTTTGCAGTTCAATCACATGTGCATGAACAGAAAAATCTGCTAGGCTTGAATTACCTCCCAGCTGAGTTAATAGTCACTGACTTTCTCACGGACAGGCTGCAGGGAGGAAATGCCTGCCTTATGCTGCATTGCTGCAGCATCTCCCTCTCCTTGTACTCCAGTGTCCAAGCTGTCTGCACCTTAAAATCAAGGAAGCCTCTTCTGGGTGGTGCCAGTAATAGGAATGAGGAACCTCCATAATTGTCATTTCAGACGTGTGTTGTCTTTTCTAGGCTCTGCAGTATTTTCTTCTCAGAGTCACCAATGTCCCTTCATTTTCTTTCTTTCATTCAAGCCTCCAAAGAGTGAAGCTGCCTAATTACAGAATCACAGAATGATTGAATGGTTGAATTTGTAAGGGACCTCTGTATGTCATCTGATCTAACTTCCTTGCTCAAGGAGGGGCATCCAACTATTTCTTTCTACAGCCACAAAATTGTGGAGTTTAGTGGTGAACGAGGCAAATCTGCCTCCTTTAATCTGAGCTTTCTTTAAAAGAAAGAGATGGTATATCTCTAGAAGCTCTCCAGTCTACAGAAGTAACACATCCTCCTGGGTAACACAGCTTGGGCACAACAAATGTGCTATGTGACAGCGCTAACACAGCTCCTCTGCTTTCACCCTCAATCTGATAGGAGAAAAAGATGCAAGAAGGGATCTCTTTTCCATCTTCTTTTCTCCCCTCCTTTTTTTCCTACTGCGTGAGGTCCAGTGGAAATAAAAAGACAACAATTAAAAAATGAAGCTGAGTTGCATGTAGTTTTTTGCTGCATCCATTTCTGTAATGCATTTAAAAGACATAGCTCTATTTTCTTCCCAATGACAGGCTAGTTATTTTGTCTCTTTTGTGGGTTA